AATGACTGTGTCATTGAAATATATAACCTGGGGATTAATGGGGCATTCTGAATATGAAACATACATGCATGATTTGTTTTTAAAACTCTTAATATAATGGTTTTGAGGTTTATTTTTAAAACATTTAGTTGTGGTTTTATACCCTCAGCACTGGGTTTCGAATAAAACTTTGTGTTCCTGGTTTGTAAAGTGGAAGGAAGTCTTGTCTGGCATGGGTGCATTGGTATAGCCAGTTAACAGTTCTCACCCTCTCAGTAACTGTATTTACATCAGCTGTCATCTCAGTATTAATGAGCTAAAACCAGCTTCAAGTCTGAATTGCTAAATCATGTATACTTTTTAATATTCATATCCTGGATTGGGGAATGCAGGTGTTTCATTAAGTCACAGGTGTTTTTTTTTTTTCAGTCTCTATTATGCTTAAATTGTGTTTAACCAATTTGTAATAGAACATTTCACCAAGACTTCTGCCTTTTGGTTCTCACTGTACCAGTTGTGTGCTGCTCATTTACTGTAGCTTGGGGCTTTAATGCAAGGCTCTATGTAGCAATATTCTACCTTCATTCTGTAACTAATCGAAATACCATATATACATACTAATGTATCGACGGTATTTCTACTTAGGCATTTCCTTTTGATAAAATTTCATCTTTAAGTCTTACTGATAGGGTTAATAATCTTTTAGCGTTGTCTCTAGAAGCCTTAGGAATAAGCTAAACATGTTACAAACTTAAACTTATTTGTAGTAATTGATTAATATAGCTGAGTTATTGGCCATTTCCACATACTTTTGTGCATCTATAGTCTATACCAATGTTTTAAACATTAAACTTAAAACTCAGGGGGAAAAAGGTTCCTCAACTTGAGATCTTCTCTCCAGATCTCCATTCTTTGGAGTTTCCATGAATGTGACCTGAAGAGCTTGGAACCATTGAAATTCAAATGTAGGTAGGTAAGTGTCCACACCAGCGCATGCGTTGACCGCCTCATATCTCTTTGTATATGCACCTGTATTGCACCCCCTCAGTGCCTTTCTTTCTCTTTCTCCCATAGATCATGTAGGGCCTGTGTCATCTTGATATAATGTAGTTTTGCAAGTCTGTACTTTGGTCAGCATTTGTCTGTGATATGTGTCAGGAGCCGTTGTAGAAAGTCTTGAGACACTTACGGCATTGTGTTGTCTAAAGACTGTCTCACACATACCTGTTTGCTATATATGGTCCTGGGTTGTGTTGTGTTAATTTCTGTGTTTGTAGAACCTCTGATACAAATTCACCTAGAGTTGCTGGTGTTTGTTGAGGGATGCAAACATCATAGTCTTGCTCTTCTTTCATGGACTCTTCAGTGTATCCAGAAATCATGAGTTATTTGTGGTTCTATTCATTTCTTCCTGTTGGTCTTTAATTTAAAAGTCTTCCTTCTGATCAGATTCGTGATGGCATGAATGTCAGCTGTTGTCTGTTGAAGACATTCACAAGCTTTCTTTGGACAATATCAGTTGTATACCGATTTGCTTCCATGAGTAAGAATACCCCACATAAGTAAGATCCCTACTGAATTGAAGACTTCCCTAGGAGTAGCATGCATAATTACAACTGCAATAAACTAGATCTGGAATAGTCTCCTACGTCCAAGTAGAGCCTGTTCAGATTTAAAAACAACAAAAAAAAATGAGACATTAGGATGCTTTATTAATTTCTTTCAAAAATACCTGAAATCAAAACCTAAGTTATGGCATGCTTTCTGTTGCTGCCGAGTTCCCCCCTTCCCCTGTATTTAATAATATGCCAAGGACTTCATTAAAATTCAGAATATTTTTCCATGATTTCTTCCCCCACACTCCCAACTCTTAATGATAATTGGGCAAATCTTTGATAGTGATTCCTAAATGTTTGGCCTCTGAGCCTTTTCAGACACCTAAAAAAATGAAACTTCTCCAAGAATTTATTTTTATTGTGTGTGTAGGTTATTACTAGCAATACTTACAGAAATTAAGATTTTCGGTATTTTCTGTAACATTTTAAAGCAATAAGCCCATTATATGTTAACATGAGCAATCTATGACAATTGAGAAAAAGTGTTTTTTTCACTGAATATTGTTGCCATAAAGAATATAGTAGTTACTTTTTGGTGTCACTGCCTGGGTTCAGCCAGTGTTTTTACCAACCTTTCTTTTTATGCCATCAGCACACATGTCAACATATTGAAAAAGACCAATAAAATTCTGGTGTTTTTATAAAACAGATTTCCCTCTGGCAGTTTTTCTGGAAGGGTTTCAACAATCCCACTTAGAGAATGTTACTCTCAAATGCCTCTGTCTGTAAAGTAAATGTTTTTACCTGCTGGTTTAAGTTTTTTTTTTTTTTTTTTTCCTCCTCTGGGTCTTCAGTATCCAAGGAGAACTTACATACATTGTGAACACGTTTTAGAGTTATTTGATTATGATGATTGCTTTTAGTTAGCATCAGAAAAATAGATATAAAAGAATGCACCCAATTGGTCCAAAGTAAGTCTGTCCAATTGGATGACTGTACATTTTCTCTTGTGTGTGGTATGTGTGTTATATGTGAGCATATAATTAATTTGGCTCCTGAGTAGTTTTTAAACATGTTTCCAAAAAGAAGCCGTTTTCACAAATTGTGGTGACTGACACCATTGGCTCTTTGGCTATGCTACTCTTCCCAAAGACCTATGTAAACTTCAGATGTTACTGCTGCAGTTAGGTTCTACTACATTTCTTACCTTTTTGTTCTTCTTTACCCTGAAACCGAAATTTATGACTTTTTTAAAAAAGTAGTTCAAGAAAGTGATAGTGATGCTAAGTAGAATGTGAAGCCCCTCACCTTGTAAGTGGCATCACCCTGTTGAGTTACCTTCTTCATAGAACGTCCCTCTGATGTCCCTGCACTGTTGAGCTGTAAAGCTCATACTGGCAGTCCTGAGGGGGTGTGTGATGCTTCTGTAAGCAGACATAGAGCAGAGTTTGACTCACACTCAATGCATGCGCTAGTGCTCACGCTTACGTACCTGAGAGTTAGTATTCTGCAGTGTGTGCAAAACAGTCAAAATGAGTACATGATACTGCTAAAGAGCCAAGATACGCTGGCTTGATCTACCTGTTCAGAATGGTACCGGTAAGTAACCAGAAGACTTTCTAACTCGGAGAGGTTTTTGGTGCATGATCATTATAAGCAGTATACGTAGAGTGGAAGTATTCAGCCCGTGTAGCATACTGCACTGTATTGTATAACATTTGCCTGTAAGTACTGAGAATCATTCATTTAAATGCTTCATTATATATTTAGGAAAGTTCTTGAGTTAAAAGTATAAAAGCAAATCATTTCATTGAATATAGTTTTCCCTTCATGTAGAATGGGCTTCCTAATTCCACTGCCAATTTTGAGATGTATTATTAAGTTGTTTTAACTGTTAATGTAGCCCTGCCTTTTTCTCAAGTTTATCTTCTATTCTTGTTTTGATAATAGGCCCATTTCTACTACAGACAGGCCCCAATAATGAAACCAGATAATTAGCCATAATTGCTTACTCAGTTTTGGGGGGCAATTATTAATCTTTGACCATCTCTTTATGATTCATTCTAAAAGCCACAAAGAATTAACAACAAAGACCACCGGACAGGCATGTGAAACAGCTCCCCCTTGGTCTGTGTTCTCCTCTGATAGCCGCCCAATCACACCCATATCTCCAGGTTAATTGTGAAGAGTAATAAAGAAGGGATTGGTAGCTATCAAGAGATTTGTGTTGTGAAGAAAATGTATTTTGTAAGAAACAATTTTATCGCCAGGCATTGGTGGTGCACGCCTTTAATCCCAGCACTCATGAGGCAAAGGCAGATGGATCTGTGAGTTCAAGGCCAGCCTGGTCTACAAAGCAAGTTCCAGGACAGGCTCCAAAGCTACACAGAGAAACCCTGTGGGGGGGAAAAAAAGAAGAAAGAAAAGAAACAATTTTATCTATATATTCCAGATAGATAACATTAATTTGGAGAGAATAATTAGCTTTTAAATAGCATTTACATCATTTAATATGATATGTTAATATTGATTTATTAATATTAAATATCATTTTAAAGTCAAACAATAAAACCAACTTGGAAAGAACATTCCTGTCTTCAGATTAACCCATTATTGACAGTAGTGTTTTGTGTAAATCATGAATGTTTATCATTCTTCTTATCTTATTCTAAGAGGTACTACTTCTGGTTTTTGTTTACCTTCAGCCTAGCTACAGTTATTTTATTATTGCTGTTCATGGAGAAACCTTGTGGAGACACAAGGTGTGTTTAGTGCCTTAAAACTAACTAGTTACATAGAAAATGGCAGTGAACAATGACAGTGTTGACATGTTCCTCTTCATCCCTCAAGTTATCTGTGCTTCTGAGATGACCTGTCACTGTAGTTCAGGAAAACTGATAAAAAGATACTTTAGGTATCACCCCTTGTTAAAACTGCATTGCTTGCTAGCAGTCATCACAGAACACTCTGCTTGCAACTCAGGAGCTGTAATTTTAAATTCTAAGGTTCTTCTCTTCTTTCTTGGTCTCTCAACTTCCTGTGTTTTCCTTCACCTTTCCATACATTCTGTTAAGTTGCTGTTACACGGGTGTTTCTAACCTTTTCATTTAAAACCAGTGGTGTGCTTGTTTATATATCTTAACAGCTTCATCATTAAACTTTTAAAAGAAAAACAGTAATGGTTTGATACATTTTAGAAACTATTTCTAAATTTCTGCTAATCATTGAAAAGATTAAAGTCTCTGTTCTTCTGAACTAGTGTGATTTAAATATTCAAGTGTATTGGGCTGGAGAGATGGTTCAGCCAGTGAAGGCTAGGCTCACCAAAATGCCAAATGAGTGGACTTCATTTGCCTTTGCTGTAACTCATAGTGAAATGAATTACAGAAAGTAACAGATGTTTTCTGTTTGTTAATATTTGATAATATAAATGCTTCTCCCCTTTTCCTCTTTCTGTTTTAACAGATTCCCTTCAAGCTCAGCTAATCAATATGGGTGTTATCCCAACCTTAGTGAAATTACTGGGCATCCACTGCCACAATGCAGCTCTTACAGAAATGTGTCTTGTCGCATTTGGGAATTTAGCAGAACTCGGTAAGTCTACATCACAAGCTACAAGTGTCATTAACTTAATAATGCTCTTACAGTGGCTATTTCTTTATGAACTTGGAATCCACTTAAATTATTTCAGATTTTCTTTTCAGTATTCAAGGTACTTTTTTCAATGTTAAAAAGGAATAAATAAATCCAATTAGATTTTTTTCATTAAAATGGTTACAACTGCAACTATTTTGCCTCTCTATTTTATATATTTGGATTTAAATTTTAGGAGCTTTGAATATATAGCCCAGAAATAGTGTGCTTGTAAAACCTACAACGAGTCTATGGTTTTACTCACGCCAGCATACACACAAAGTAAACATCGTAAATTTCTTTTTTAATATAAATTATTTGATTAGATAACCTTTAAAGCATCAGCAAACTAAAGTGCTTCCCCATCTTTTCACAAAGTTCCTAAAAGTGATGGGTTTTTCATATAAATACATGTTTTCCTATAAGTTTATATGTATGTATATAATATTTTACATTTAGAGAGTATGTATATGCATGTACCTGAGTGTGAGTGTGGCAGTCAGAGGGTCACTTGCAAGAGCTGTTCTGGTCCTTCTACCATGTGGGTCCCTGGAATTGAACTCAGGTTGCCAGGCTTGGCAGCAGTGCCTTTGCCTGCTGAGCCGACTCACAGGTTCCTATGTGTTTGTAAGAGTATAAAGAGTATTATAGAGCAGAATTTAGAAACCTTTGAAAATAAGAAGACAGAACAAAGTCACTGCTGTAGACATTTCTTTGTTATAACGAAAAAGACCAATTGCCTCAGCCTCCCTCCCTTTTCTGTATTATTTCCTCCTTTTCTATCCCTTGCTTCCCCTTCCAACTTTTGGGATGAATCATCCCCACAGCCATGTTTGTAATTCTTTATTATATTTATAAGAAAGGCACTGGTGTGTAATAAAGCATAAATGCATTTATTAATCTTACATCTTATAATGAAACATAAGGTACCAGGGCTTTGCTATTGATCTTTCTAAAAGTGTGTTATTTGCACACTATATTTCCAGTACTTCAGTTTGACTTGAAGCTTAAAATAGTAGAGAGGTGTATGTGTCTGTCTGGCAGTCTGTCTGTGTGGAGATCTGATTGCAATTTTGGCAAGTCTTTTTCTCTCCGGGTATCAAACATAGGTCATCAGGTTTGTGTGGCAAATGCTGTTACCTACTGAACTGTCTTACCTGCCCTGGAAATATAATAATTTATATATAAATATAAATTAATTTATAAATATTATTATATTATAATATAATATAAAATATAAATGTAAATTATAAATATAATAATTTATATAAATATAATATAATAATTTATATATAAATATAATGTATAATAAGATATATAAATATAATAATTTATATATAAATATAATATATAATAAGATATATAAATATAATGATTTATATATAAATATATAAGATATATAAATATACATATATATATTTAAGTCTTTTTCTTCTTTCAGACTGGGTCTTACTTTATAGCTTGCCTGCCTTGTCTAGAACTCACTAAGTAGCACAGGCTGGCCTCATATTCGCAAGAAATCTACTTGCCTCTCTCCCAAGTATAGTGACTAAAGGCATGCACCGCATCTAGCTCAAAAGCTGTTATTATGTGGTGGATCACATCCTAGCATGCTTCTCTCCTCTACATTCCTTTTTATGCTAGACTGATTAATGCACAGTTTTTCCAATGAGACTAAGAAGGAAAGAACATTCAGTTAGTATTTAGAAATGTTATTTTCCTTTAATAAAATGAAGTATGCCCAGTATACTTGCAGCAATCACTTTAGACTCTCATAGTGACGTCACTCTTTGTATCAAAACATAAGCAGAATGGTTCAGATCTCATGTCACTTACCTTCAGTTCCGCGCTTTACTTCACATTACTAAGACTGCACTATAACAGAGTAGTCATCAGACACACGTGGTTGTTGAATTGACAAAGTGCTGAAGTATAAAATACACAATGGGTTTTAATGGCGGCATGAAAAAATGATGTTTTGCCAATATTTTATGTCCTTTTCATGATGGATAGACAGTTTGAAGCTGCTGGGTAAAGATGAGCTGTACCCATGTTTGTCGGACAGTGAGTGGTTTTCTAGAGAACAGGCTACCACAGGTCTCCTTCACCTGTGGAGTTTACTTAAGAGAGTACGGTGAAGGAAACAGAGGCTGGGGAGCTTTATGCCACCCGACCTTAAGGGAACGTGGCAGCCACCCTTGATAGGCTGGAGTACACCAGCACATATGATTGCAGTTGCTTGCTGAGGACCAATTTCAAGCCTTTCATGGTTGTGTTTCTACATCTGGTAAATGCTTCAACTTGAGGAACATGCAGAACTGCATGACCATCAGAAGGAAGCTAAGCGGCCATCTTCACCTTCTTGCTGGTGTTGTGCATTTCAAGGACTGAGGCATTGAACAAGAAAGTGTGTCTGCATTGACTCCTTCTTACTCTTTGAGGAGAGGGGAAATGAGGAGTTACCAGAAGCATGCTCATGCGTAGGTGACCTCATGACGAGTAATAAGCATTTAGGGATGCATCTGATTGGTGAAATTGTGTGGCAATTGAAGAGAGGGAGTGTTTTCTGTGAATTGTAAATATTGCAGTGCTGAGTGAATTTCCAGAGAGGAAGAAGTTAGACATGCTGAAGAGGACAGGGGATGAGGCTTCAAAAGCACTGACAAATTGGCTCTTAAATAGTATGTGTAAGCTTGGGTCTCAGTGATAGAGTACATGCACAAAGCCTTAAATTTAATCTGTAACTCTGTAAAAACAAGTAACAAAAACACAGTAGTCCTATCAGAGCCAACACAAAAATATTTCAATTAAGTTGTACTAAAGATACAATGGTGTCATCTTTTATTCAGCAATGTAAAATATAATTTGTTATGAACAATTTCTTCTTTGCACGAAAGCCTTGAAAGTATGAATTTATGACTCAGTCATTTTATCGTTGCTATAGCTACCTATATGTTATGCCAGTGAACATTTTTTATGGCCTCAAATCTAACTGGGTCAGAACATTTTTCTCTAAAGCTTTAGACACTTTCTTTTTTAATGCCCTTAAAAAAGAATTCGATTGTTTCCTGTATCTGAAGAGCATTTGTGCTCAGTAATAGTACAGAATGCCTCAGTATTAAAAGTAATAGGAAATAAATTTCTGGGTTTAGTTTTCTTTGCTTACTTTAATAAATCTTTCTCTTATTTTTCAGAGTCGAGTAAAGAACAGTTTGCTAGTACAAACATTGCTGAAGAGCTGGTAAAACTATTCAAGAAACAAATAGAACACGATAAAAGAGAAATGATTTTTGAAGTTCTAGCTCCATTGGCAGAAAATGGTAAGGAAAAAAACACTTTTTGGTGTTTGCTCATGTTGGGTTTTTCAGATTTCTTTAAGGCCATTTCTAATCCAGGGCCCTTCTTTGTCCTGTTAATGTTGTTATAGTTTATTTTTCATAACTCTAACTTCAGCTTTATTATCTGTTCTTTTGTTGTTTTTAGCCCCAAAAGAGAGTAGATGTTTTGGGAAGGGACAGTGCAGAGTTTAGGCGGAAAAGATCTGAAATTGCAAAGATACCATGTTCATGTAAGGTGGCCAGGCTACCACAGAGAGGCGCTGTCTCAGAAGGCCTTTTAAAGGCAAGGAAACTGCATATAATTTACAGTACACCACAGAAGGAAAAGACAGTCTTTTTGCTAAACATACTGAGACTATGGGCAAAAAAAAAGAAAAGAAAACAGTTGGAGGCAGGCCCATTGCCTTTTTATGTTGCTCTGAATATCTGAAACTCACTGTGTAGACCAGGCTGACCTCGAACTCAGAGAGATCCACCCGCCTCTGCCTTTCAAGTGCTGGGATTAAAGACGTGTACCACTACATCCGGTTACACATATATTTTTTAAATTGATTTTACATAAGGTACTGGCTTCAATTTAAAGCTAGAAAAATTGATCTTAAGATATAGGAGGCAGTCCTTATACCAAGCCTGAAAACATTAGTTCAGTCCCCAAAACCACAGAATGTAAAGTGGAGAACCAATTTCTGCAAGTTGTCCTGACTCTCCATGGGCAGTCATTCCCCTCTCCATTCCATGTCCTCCAGACATACATGCACACAGCAAGTAATCTCCTTTCTTAAAAACTGTAAAGGAAAATACAAACACTAAGAAATACATATTCAGATATTTAAAGTTAAATAAAAAGTAAGTCAGGGCTGCTGTAGCTCTGTAGCCTAGAATGCATGTGGGCCTGTGCTCAATACCCAGCACACACACACATAAATAGTAATAAGAAAAGACAGCAGTAATAAGCTAGTTGTTAGGAATGATTATTTATTTGGTGAGAGGAGGATAAAGTGTGGAGGTGATTTATCACAGCCACCAGGGTATTGGCATGAGGGATACAAAGGGAGGGGCTTGTGGTCAGAATGAGAAATCTATGAAGGGAAGTCTTAGATTGTTGGCTATTTCTTGGTCTGAGTAATTGTCTTTTTTACAGTTGCTTATGTTTATATTATATTTTTTGCATGTATGGCTTTTAAATAAAGGTTATATGATTGGCTGGCCTGGGTTGAGAAGCTCCTAGGATTGAAGTGTACTGAGCATGTGTGTCAGGGTCCTGAGAGGATTAACTAAGAAGGAAGAGCCCTGCCCTACCTTTGTGCAAACCTTCCTAGTGATGGTGCTCTACCTCAGTGTGGCCGACTGAAGCATGAGCCCAAACTGCCTGCCTGCCTTTGTTTGATGTGTAATGCAGGTTAGTGTGTATGTATGTGAGAGTGTGATATACCTTATACACTCACACATACCATACAAACAAGTGAGAAGGATAGTCCTGTGTAAAATAGTGTTGATCAACATGGTAGGAAGTCTGCTTTGCCAAAATGTCCAGCTGATCTTCACTAAGGCACCTTGAGTTAACCAAATCTGTGGTTACAGTCAGACTGTAAGAAAGGTCTGTAACCTTCATTCTGCACATGTGACATGTTCTAAATGCCTTAAATCTCACTCTTTAATGAGAAACTTCTTTTGCATCTCATCACATGGCTCCACAAAATGAAAATGTTACCCTGATCTTCAAGTCTATGCCAAAAAATCCCCTCCTGGCAGAGTTCCCATAAAGCAGGGTTTTCATTTGTTAGTGCTTTCTCTTCCAGCTAAGCTCTGTTGAATAACTGCAGGGGACAGAATGACAGACCTCACAAAACTTGCTTCTGTATTAATTATTTGCATCCTGTTTGATTCTTTTCTTTTGCTATACAAGAAGAGTAATTTGTAACAATAAGTATTTCCTCCAAAGCCGGAGCCTGCCGCCACGCTGGCGCTTTCTTCTGCCTGCCATCACGTTAAGGTCCCAAAGTAACGTACAGAGACTTATATTAGGTACAAATGCTGCTTAGCCAACCGACTAGGATTTCTCATCTGCTAGCTCAGTCTTAATAATCTTAAATGTATATATTTTATAAAGCTTATATTATGGAGGATGCCTTCCGCTGGCATCCTCTTCCTGGGATCATGCGGCGGCCCAGAGCAGAGAGCAGGAGGAAGAGTGAAAGGGATAACTCCCTTCTAGCCCTTGCTTGTATATATACACGAGTCTCCCTGCTATGTCACTTCCTGCCTAGATCACCACTTCTTTACTACATTTCCCAGAATCCTCCTTGACTCCTAGTCCAGCCTAACTTGCTGCCTCATTGGCCAAACAGTACTTTATTTATCATCCATTAAGACAAACATACACAGAAGCACTTCCCTTCTCAGTAATTGTAACTTTGTATCTCTGTAGTTCAAGGCCTTAACATTTCTAAGGCTTTTATTTTTTTTTAAATCATGGTTTTCAATCCTAGTTTCTGCACATCTCTAGCCCTAGTGTTCTGTAACCAAGGAAACATCCTACTTTAAGTATTGCCTGATACAGGTGCATTTTTTTTAAAAAGTATTTCGTGTACTTAAATATATAATAATCCTGGTGATAATAAGTTAAAAATTTCCATGCTCAAGTTACCTAAAAGAATAAACATTAAGTATATGTGTATTTTAAAATATTTCTTCCACATGACAAACTGAAACTGTCATTGCTGTATGTGACACACATACAGTTTATGGAAGCCAATGACTGAAGTAAAATCCAGCTAAAACAATAAAATTTAAACTCTTTGTTTTTTCTTTGCAAAGAGGAGATGGATAAGGCTACAAATATAAAATCCTTAAGAACACAAGTGGTATAATAATAGAATAAGATATTAGCACTATCTTATTAGACACATTAGACAGTATGTGTTGAAGTTACAGTCAGGTTTTTTTAATGAAACTATTACAAATCATCTTTCTGAAATATCATAGTTTATCAATTAACCATGGGAGGACTTTCCTTTCAACTGTATTACAGACATTTTAAAGATGTATTAAGAAATAGAATTTAATGTAAGGAATCACCATGTACCTGTGATCTCAAAAGGTTTTACATTAGTGAAAACTTGCAGCTCTTTTACACCAAGACTTACTAAGTTATAAACGACACTAGAAAAATTCCATCTATACAAATACCAAACTAAGTATACTTGTATGTAGGTTCAGATTTTCTAATAGGACCTTAATTTTTGATAGCTTTTTATTCAAAAATGATAGTAGGTGTATTTTAACTTTACATAACTGATATGTTTTTATATTATAGACATTTGTATAATATCCTCTTGCCTTTTAACATAGTCATAATATCTAAAAGAATAGTGATATTGGTTATTGTCAGAGCTAAAAAGTAGACCTGGAGTACTTGGGTGCTGTAAGACATTTGAGACGATAAATAATTTCAAATAGAAAACTGAAGTGAGTTTCATAATCAAGCTGGACCATCAAGTACTTCATCTTGAAACTCAATTGTTCAAAGGTGTTTTGCTGTTTTTTTTTTTATCTAAGTTGTGCATTAACTAAGCTTGAAATAACACTAGTTAAAATTCTTGATGACCAGTCACTTATACCGAAAGCCCTATGTCATCAAAACTTATTGTTTTGTTCCCATTGTCCTTCAGATGCTATTAAACTGCAGCTGGTGGAAGCAGGTTTGGTAGAGTGTCTGCTAGAGATTGTTCAGCAGACGGTGGATAGTGACAAAGAGGATGATGCTGCCGAGCTTAAAACTGCCTCAGATCTGATGGTTTTATTACTTCTTGGAGGTGAGTTTTATCTTCTGCCAATCAAAGAACATGGCCATCAGGTTTTTTTAGACCTACTATGCCTTTCATAAACACTATACCAGGCATTTTCTTACTTTCTTATCTCACTTACTATTGCTATGGTGACTTTGAAACCTTATACACACTATGAAAAGAAGATATAAACTCAAGAAAAGGTTAAGTGTTTGCTGTTTTCCAGTGTTTGAAGACCTGTCATATGGAGAGACAGTATGACACGAGAGTACTAAAAGCTGGGTGGTATATGGAAATTGAGCTATGCAGTTTATAAACTTTAGCATCTAATTTCTACTAATCACCTATGACAAGATTTTTCATATTATGAACTTCATGTTTTGTGAGCTGTCTAGTTTCCTAGTTGGATATCTACTTTGGAGCATGGGTTTATTAACTCTAATTGTATTTATCTTATTTAACTTTTTGTTTCATTTCCCTCCAGATGAATCCATGCAGAAGCTTTTTGAAGGAGGAAAGGGCAGTGTGTTCCAAAGGGTGCTTTCTTGGATTCCATCGAATAACCACCAGCTGCAGCTTGCTGGGGCATTAGCAATTGCGAATTTTGCCAGGAATGGTATATATATACATATATATAAGTTATTCCTTGTGCATAAAGTGTTCTGCATTTTTAAGTTTCTGCTTTCTATCACATACTCCAAAAATGTACAGTACAGAAATGTTTGTGTGTTGTTTCCGTAATCTTTTAGAAGTCTGAAATATTTGTAGTGACTTTACTAACAAATGATATATAATATAGTCATAGGAATTCTGAAATTTAAAGACCAATGATCATGCATTGGATGTGAATACTTTGCACTTCAAGTTAACTCAAGCATATACATCTGATGGGGGCTGTGTTCCTTTCCCAGTCATGTTATTTTGGCTTGAATAATCTGAATACTCATCCTTGGGTTATTGGGTTATACCCATGAAATTTACATATGAATAATCCTATGGATGTACAGTATTTAGCTTGTAATCTGATACCCTTGATAGTTCATCTAAGAACTAGGAATTATGGCTGTTTTTCTAATTCAACTTTACTTCAATGTGAACTATTCATATATGACACAGGTTGATTGTTCCTTAATCCAATATGCTTGAGACCTGAAGCATTGTAGATTTTGGATTTTCTCAGACTTTGGAATATTTATATAGACATTAGGCAATATCTTGGTCAGAAGACCCAGGCTTAACCGTGAAATTTACCTGTTTCCTATACACTTTATATACGTAGTCTGAGAATAGTTTTAGATGATATTTTTAGTGTATCCTAACTGTGGCTGACTGATTGTATCAGTTCAGTTGTATAATTTCTGCCTACAGATTCATGTCTCTACCACAGATTTTTCAGACTTTAGAACATCTCATACTTTGAGATTTTGCTCCCGAAAAGTTCAAACTCTAGACTATAGTGGCTGACTTACTTTCTCCTCCCTTCTCTTTAGAAGAACTTTTTAGTAATGTAAGACCAGCAGAATATTAGGCTTGTGACATAGATGAGTTTAAAAGATTTAGTGCTGGAAGCTACTTAGCCACAGTTTTATAAAGGAGGACGTTTGCCTTTGTTTTGTGTAGATGGGAATTGTATTCACATGGTAGACAGTGGGATTGTAGAAAAGCTCATGGACTTGCTCGACAGACACGTCGAGGACGGGAACGTGACTGTGCAGCACGCAGCACTCAGTGCCCTCAGGAATCTTGCCATTCCAGGTAAGATGGAGCAGCTATGTGGTTCATGGACCTCCTGTCAGAGAAAGGGGGAGAGCGAGCTGTTGTGACACATGCCTTTAATCCCAGCACTGGGGAGGCAAGGATGTTAGTGGCCAGTCACATATAAGAAGTGAGTTCCAGGCCTGCCAGGGCTACAAAGGGGTGGTACTAAGAAGAGTCTTCAAATTATTCACCTTTTTCCTAACTAAGAAGTGGAGACTATATGTTAAGTATATTTTCTGAGACAGTGCAAAAGTGATCTGTTGAGAGAACTAAATGAACTGATCAGTTTTTATGAGCTCTTTGCTTTCTTAGGCATCCCCAGGTGAAGTAAGATACAGAACATCAGTGAACAGGATCCCCGAAATAATAGTTACATAAGGTAGTAGGGTCCTTTTTGGTCTTTGTCTCATCCTATGAGCAAATACATAGCTTTTGAAAATAGCCTCAGTATAGCTTTGTATTAAGTTTTGAGCCATAAAACGACATTTTTAGAGAAATGACCTAGATGATTGTTAAGGCTAATTCTTTTATTCTACTTACTAAAATTAAATTTCTGATGAAGTATAGTATAGTAATATGAAGATCCAATTCAATTGTATTTGTTTTGCATAACATTGATAATATTTAATAATGTATTACATTTATATTAGTAGCCAGGCGTTGGTGGCGCACGCCTTTAGTCCCAGCACTCAGAAGGCAGAGGCAGGTGGATCTCTGTGAGTTTGAGACCAGCCTGGTCTAAAGAGCTAGTTTCAGGACACTAAGAGTGCATGCGTAGCTTGTAAGATGTCAACATTTTCAGATTAAAGTTGTGTTTTTAAAAACTAGTATGATTTTTGTGTTATGTTCCTATAAACAGGTTACTTCCATATACCCAATCTTATTGTTTATTTGCGCCTCCCCCTTGAGGGGGGGAAGGTGTGAGGGGTGAGTTGAAATAGATTGTATCCCAGGCTACTCTATTTTGTTATGTGGTTTATGAGGACCTTGAACTCCTGATCTTCCTGCCTCTCCATTTCATTCTCTGGAATGATGGAATATATTCCTAGCATTTCTAAATAGAAAAACATAACACAGGGTCTTAAAGCTAGTAGGTACTAGATGTGTGTTGAATTGAATGTTTATTGAGAGTGTTAGCACCATTTTAACCATAGTCTCTTTTTCTTCCTAGTTGTAAATAAAGCAAAGATGTTATCAGCTGGGGTCACAGAGACAGTTTTGAAATTCCTTAAATCTGAAATGCCCCCAGTCCAGTTCAAACTCCTGGGAACACTAAGAATGTTAATAGATGCACAAGGTAAAAGAAAATGGTTTCCAAGTCACATTCCAAGTTCCTAGTTGTCAGAATTACAGAATTTAAAAAGTAAATAGAAAACAAAAGTTTAAGAGTTGATTTTAGACTTAATTCTTATGCTAAATGATTTTGAGTAAAAACATGTTATATACTATTAATACCTAAGTCTTTTGTACGTTGGTGTGAAGTCTTTCTACTGGGGTTTTGTGCTTAGACTTTTCATACCCATGTTTGCCTTGTCTTGCAACCATGCTTTAGTACAGTGATGGTCAACATTTTTAAGGATTTATTTTGTGTTTTTCTATTTGAAGAAGCAATAATAAAGACTACTAGCAGTGAACTCAGTTGTTTTTATGTATTTCCTAATTCTTAATCCTTCTCTGTCTTGATTGCTTGGAGTCCTTTTGAAACACATTTGTTCCAGTCTGCCAGAGCCCTGACTGACTGTTAGGCTTAACCAAGAATATGAAGTTACATGTTTTTATATTTGCGTGAAAGCCTGTAACATTATGGAATAAGCTAGTTTGCTCATTAGTTGAGGAGCATTTGCAGTAGTTGCTTTTATAAAATTGTTGCACTATTTTTTAGACCTGTAATTTTCCTTCCTGTACCCGCTTTCATGTCAGCTGATTGCCTATCAGTGATTTAGTCAGTTTTTGGTTTGCCTTGTTTCCTATAGCAGAAGCTGCTGAACAACTGGGAAAAAATGCTAAATTGGTGGAGCGTTTGGTTGAGTGGTGCGAAGCCAAAGATCATGCTGGTGTGATGGGAGAGTCAAACAGACTGCTCTCTGCCCTCATACGACACAGTAAATCAAAAGTAAGTTCTGGAGGAAGCTGGCTGTACAGTAACAAGTATTAAAGTGGTCATGGTGGGAGCTAGCATTGTAGATTATGTGCCACCTGCTAGCATATTCATGTATTTTCTATAAATATGCTGATCTCCAATACCAGCAGGAAATAAAGACTGAGGCTTTTAACTTTATTACACCATACTTAAAGGTAGGGGCTGAGGGAGAGAGTGGAGAAGGGTTTTTTCAGCAAAGACGTACATGTGTGTGGGGAGGAGGGTCTGTGTCTGTGTACATATACACACCCAGATGTCAAAAGGCACAGTTTTAAATGAAAACAGCAAATGCAAGTCTGTTGGAGAGTGGCATATAATTCATATTTAGCATGAATTATATGCCACTGAAAGTATGTGGTTAGATTCTCTGGAAGAGTAGGTCTTCTACCCCTCCGATATTACTGGAACTAAATCAGGCTTGGATATGCTAGGACATACTTTCATTATCTTGCCCAGACCGGCCTTGAAAGGCTGGGATTTGAGGCATGTGACACCATGCCCAGGAGAAGTATAAACTTCTTGAAGGATTTTAACCAGCAGAGTGTCATTATTTCATTTCTATGTAGAAAAATCACTTTAGAGTTTAATGTGAGCAGGAAAAAAAGGAGAAGTTGAAGCAAAAGGTACATAAGAAATGATGTCATTTGTGGTTGAGCTTTGAAACTGCAAATCATCATTTTGACAAACTCTTTTCATTGTTCCAACTCCCGGTCCAGCTGAGTAGTAGCAGTGAAGATGGGAAATAGGACTTAACAAGGCATAGGCAATGGAATCAGCTGGCCTCTCTCCTGGGGATACGGGAGCAGGCAGTTCATTGAGTGAGTTTGGGGCTTCGTACCAGATAGGGCATATGCCAGTTGTCCAAACAAGATACAGAAGAGCAGCTCAGGTGGCTCACTGCTGTATTCTAACCCACTTTCCCAGGCTCTTTAGAGTATTTACCCCTTTAGTCTTTCTCTGTCCTCTGGGATTTCCCACCAACATTTCAAAGTTTAGTCAAACCATCATTCTGTTTGCTGTATTACATACAACAGCAAAATAGTTCTTGCATCTGAACATGGAACTCTTAGATAAATTCTGGTTCCATGTGGTAGTAAGGCACAATAAATAGAAAGATAAATAAATGACTAAGCTATACGCTTCAGTTATACATGGAAAAATTCATACCAACTTTTAAAAAAAATTTTCAAATACTGTGACACTGAGTTGAAATGTAAATATTAAGATGCTTTATGTGTATCATCATTTGTCACAGGTGCCCGTTTACTTCACCTAACTAATACTTCCTCCTCCACCCCGAAGATAAGTTTTTAAGTGTCCATTAAGTATGCACCACCTACTAGGTTCTTGGAAAGTTGAAAAATATGGCTTGTCTTCGAAGATGTGCATGTACATATGCATGTACATATAACAGAAAACAACTAGGAACTGTGTAAGATTTGCAGCCTATGGTCACATAATTTTAGGTTTACAATTTAGTACACGTGGCTGTATTTCTTTGCCTTACATGTCATTCCTACATTTGAGAATAAGCTGTTAATAAACATATAAACCAATGTTCTTATTCCTGTTTAACAGCCTTTAAGGTGTAGTTGTTACATGGGATCTAAATCAGGATTGTTCATTTAAATTATTTTTAATATAACAGTGAAGTGGAGTCAATACTTACTTTTGAACAGTGGTTTTTAAAATATATTCTATTAAATAATTATTCCAAGAGATGTTACCAACAGGTGTCTAAAGCTGGGTGTGGTAACGCATGGCAGACAAAGGCATGTGTGTCTCTGAATTTGATCCAGGTGGGCTTTCATAGCCCAGGTCAACTCAGGTCAGCATAGTGAGACCCTGTCTCAAAAGGAACAGACAGACAGGCACAGTTATATGGAAGGCTTGATTACATAAGTAGTGTGTCCCCTTTGGTTGCTTAGGGGTTAACAGCATAGATTTAAACATTTCTAATGAACCACTGTAACCCTGTAATTCTCTAATAACTGATTGCTATAACCAAGAGTTTGTTTTACAAGTTGTGTCTCTAAACTATACACTGAACATACTTTGGTTAAGGCTTTGGAATAAAGTTTTGAAGTCATTAAACATTGGATACATCCCTACAGAGTTTACATCCTTACAGAGTTTTCTCAATTGTTATCTCTCTCCTTGCTTTTTTGTCAATTGGCAACATTATTACTGGTCCAGGAATTGAGAGGCTACAAAATTTCAGTAAGAACAACTACTAGTTTTCCCAGACCTCACACTTCTACAAATCCTCAATTTGGGATGGATATTGTTGTTTTTGGTCATTAACCAACAAAATAAAACTGTAACCGTCTTTAATTACTGTATTGGGTTGGAATGCTGCATTCCTTTCAAAGCCATCCTGAATTTTTTCTTAAGATTTAGCCCTCCAAAAATCTTCACAGACTCACCGGTTTCACGTTTAGTCATCTCAGTCATGTGTAGTAACTTCCTTTGCTTCACTATTAGGTGAATTCATGCTTTCCAAATGCTGGGAGCACAAAGGAAGTACATGCTGCCTGGACCAAGTCACCCACCTACCAAAGTAGGCTTATTACTTAAACAGGGACCTTTTCAAGGTTTAATGTTCCCTGTTTATTAAGCCTTTTAAAACCCTGTTCAGACTAATGTGATTAGTCCTTGGCTCACTCATCTGACATTTATTCAGATTTCTGAGCAAGCACTGATACAATGTTAAGAAGAAAGTTTTTGTTACATGACTCATTGGCTACATGTACAGTACATCATACTACAGTGCAGTAAAGGTGGGCTGAAACCTAAGCCTATCACAGAACGTCTACAGTGCACACTAGTACACAGCTTCAGTCTAAGCTGTGCCTGGGTCAGTCATTAAGGGGAAACAGCTAAATACTAGAGATGAGACTGTCAGCATGGATTGTTTGCCTTTGTTTTATGGGTTCCAGAACTTGTTTTTTGTTTTTTTGTTTTTTTATTAAAAGACAAAACAAAAAACCTCATCAAGAAATAAAACTGTAAGATAAAACATTGTTTTAAACTTGGTATAAAATATTTCTAAATTTTCTAGATAAAGACTCTTCATAGTGCTAGAGAGATGGCTCAGTGGTTAAGAACACTGTCTGTTCTTCCAGAGGACCGGGGTTCAATTCTCAGCACCCATATGGCAGCTCAAAGCTGTCTGTAACTCCAGCTACAGGAGATTTGACATCCTCACAGATAAAAATGCAGGCAAAACACCAATGACAATAAAATAAAAATATACAATTATTTTTAAAAAGACTCCTTACGAGCTGTTTCACATTATTTAGTTTATTCATTGTTATTGAAGTGGTTTGAGAGATACTTACTGAATAGCTGGATTTATTTTTTGAAGAATATTAAACTTGTAATACTCCAGGTGGACCTATTGATTTCTGAAATGGTGCTAATTAGCCTTTCTTTCTGGGAAAAAAATCTTGAAGTTAAATATAACTATAAATACATTTGTGGAGCCTCTTTGGATCACATAAAGCTGCTGACTGTATGGCATGGTGAGTGAACTATGTGTAGTTTTGCTGTGCACATAACTGCTAGAGCAAGGATCTGGAAATCCTTTGGCTTTACCTTAGTCCCAGTCTGAGCTGTGCAGATGTCACTCTTCATTTATAAACTGGAGACAGTATCTTGCTCATAGAATCCTCAAGAGGATAAAAATGAACTGTGCCAAAAACTTTTATCATATTCTATCAGAAATCAGCCATATGGACAAGCTGCTTAATAAATGTGTTGAAATAGTTGGAGAGATGATAGACATTTAAAAAAGGAAATACTCAGGCACCTGTTCTGGTAAGAGAGGTAACATGTTTGGGCTTAGAGACTGTTTCTCATTACAGATTTATTTCCTTCCTCCCTCCCTTCCCTGCTGTCCTGCCCCAGGAAACTAGCCATTTACAAAAGAAAAACTGACAGGCCACAAACTTTCCTTAGGAGACTACATGCATCTACTAACTCAGGAAGCTCCTATCTAAGTTCCAATAAACTGTTACTTTTTACCAAGTGGGCAATGATTAGAAAAGCCCTTAAAGCATCGTTTCCCAGGAGCAGATGAGGTGGCTTAGTGGGAAGTGTGGCTTATGAACAGGCCTGACTCCCAGAGTTTGATCTCAGGATCCCACAGGTGGCAGAATTCCCAAGAGTTGTTCTCTGAGACCTCTGTAAGCACACTTGACACTCACATGCACAAACACAATAAATAATAAATGCAATTTTAAAAGAGGTTCAGGGGAAAACACTTGATAGCTGCCCATAAAAATGCCAATTCTTAGGTGCTCTTAATTTGGAATGTTATCACAGGGCTCAAAGCCATGATATTTTCTATAAGTGGTTAAAATTTTATGTAAGATAGAAATATAAAGGAAACCTTATTTTAAATAATTTTGAGAATTAGAAAAGTAGTCATAATTTGATTTGTACATCATTGAAGTTAACAGAAAGTAAATTATTCTGAAATTGTGATTTTCCACAAAATCAGCATAAGAATTAAGAAACCAAAATTTGTAGCAGAATGAAGACAAAATAATCACTAAGAAGAAATGTGACTACTTACTGCATCTGACTTTTGCCACATTCTTTTATGTCCTTCTTATATAACTTTATAGTTACTCCAGAAACATAGGAAAGATAAATCATGTCACAGATGAAGTCACTTGAAGACAGGCTCAGAGTTTGCTTTGTCAAAGTCAGTATTGGTCCTAGGACTTCTCCACCCCACAGCTCCCTGCTACCTGCCACCTCTCCCTAGAGTCACAGTGAGAAAATAGGACCAGAATAATTGTGACTAACGTTCTTTGTGTTTGTTTTGTTGTTGTTGTGTGTGTTCGTGTGCTGTGTGCTATTATTTTGGTTTTTTGCAATTACAGTCTCTCTGTTCCCTTTATTCCCTCCAGAAACTTCCATGTACCCTCCCTCTCTCTCTCCCTCAAGTTCATGACCTCATTTGTCACCAGTTATGCATGTATGTATGTATGTTTTCAGGACTGACTGTTTGGCATTGGATAGCCAGTTGATGTGCTCTTGTCTGGGGAAGGCTAGTTCTCCTGCTCTCAATCTTTGAACATTTAATATTCTCAAATTTGCCAAATAAAACAAAGGGGTAAAAGATAATTTTCTAAAATAAAATAAAATAAAATAAAATTTACCCAGAGTCACTAGAGAATAGCTGCCTGGCATTATATATATATATGTATATATATATATATATTGGTTTTTCGAGACAAGGTTTCTCTGTGTAGCTTTGGATCCTATCCTGGCACTCGCTGGCTTTGAACTCACAGAGATCCACCTGCCTCTGCCTCCCGAGTGCTGGGAGTAAAGGGGTGTGCCACCAATGCCCGACCTATCATAAATATTTTTAAAGCAAAGCTTTTTTAAGTCCAAATTTTATTTCTTTTCTGTTGATCCTGATATACAAACATTTGGGGAAATGACACTTCTTTATTTTCAGTAGCTTCTAGGCCTCTCTGTTCCTTGATAGGAAATGGAATGGTCTTTTTCTCTTAGGCAATTTAAGTTGTCATCTTTTGATGAATTTATTTAAAGCTAAAAGCTTTTCCTTTTCTGTGAAGGAAAAAAAAAAGTATGGTTGAAATGTCATGATTCACACAGGACACTGTCAGATAAACCACTCAACAATGAGCTGACTGATTGTAATGCCATCTCTTTATTATGTATAGAACTAATTCTATGATATTTATTTATTGTAGGATGTAATTAAAACCATTGTGCAGGGTGGTGGCATTAAGCATCTAGTTACCATGGCAACTAGTGAACATGTAATAATGCAGAATGAAGCTCTTGTTGCTTTGGCACTAATAGCAGCTTTGGAATTGGGTAAGTACCTCGCTGACAAACTTATTTTTTACTATTTTTATCTTGGATGAAAGGAAGCACAGGAGTGGAATTGAAATCAAATAGAACCTTGTCTGTGGAAGTATTTTGCTAGTGTCTACTTAAATCTGAATATATGGAAAATCATGTAAGTTGCTGTCACAGGTGTTTCCTGTAACTCTATGCTTTGTCTAACATTTTTAGATCAGCACTTTGGGGCTTAACTTTTAAGTAATATATTATTTAGAAAATACATAAAACATTTTCAGTAGACTTTATAATTGAAATGAAACCTGGAATATCACAGTAAGAAATGTAACACAAATAATAAAAAACCCAGAGACAGATATTAAGGTTCAAGCTGCAGATCAGAAAAGCAAAGCAGCCAGCCAATAGCTCTTACCTCAACTAAACTGAAATGGCAATCCCATCTCCACAAACCGTCGGAGACAGTACTCTCCATGAATCCTCAGAGGCAAAATGCTCTTGAGTTCCTGTTTCATATGCCTTTCTCCGCCTAGCCATATCACTCCTGTCTCCTCCTCCCTAGTGCTGATCAAAGGCGTGAGCTCTGTTGTTACTCTTTCAGACTGATTCACTTTTGTGTAGCCCAGGGTGGTCTTGGACTCACAGAGACCAATCCATCTGCCTCTGTCTCCTGGGTCCTGGGATTAAATGTGTGTACCACCACCTTCTGGCCTCTATGGCTAATGACTGGCTTTGCATTCTGAACCCTCAGGCAAGCTTTATTAAATAATAAATAATGTATCACCATGGCTGGGCATTGGTAGCTCAAGCCTTTAATCCCAGAACTTGGGAGGCAGAGGCAGGTGGATCTCTGGGAGTCCAAGGCCAGCCTAGTCTACATGCAGAGCGAGTGCCAGGATAGGCTCCAAAGCTACACAGAGAAATCCTGTCTCGAAAAACAATAATGATGATGATGATAAATCACCACAAAATCAGAATCTTGGCAGAGTACTTGCCTAGCATGCACAAGGTCCTGAGTTCAATCCCTTTATGCCTGGTGGTCCATATCTCTAAATTCCAGCATTGCCAGGGTATTAGAAGATCAGAAGTTCAACATCACCTTTGCTGCATAGTGACTTTAAGGTCCACCTTGTGTGTGTAAGCATTGCTGCTTGGATGGAAAGGTGTCCTGGCCGTTAGGAGCCAAAGAATACCACAAAGTCACTGTAATCCTTGCAGCTTACAGCTCTGCTCCAGAGGAAAGTTTTCTCAATTCAAGTGTAATAGCTATGCTCTGGCAGGGGATAGTTTCCTCAGCAAAAATGTTATAGTTCTACTCCAGTCCAGCTCTGTCTGGTGAAAGTTGTTACAGCTGGGCTCCACTAGGCTGTCACACTGCACAACAAATTGAGAAGAACAAATCCAGGAGGATGGCTGCCTCTCAGCAGCAAGCTGAACAGGGTGGAGTTTATATAGGGTTTCTTGGGGGAGAGGTGTAATGATACCTCTTTCCGCCAGCCATCCAAGCCCTGCCGCCATGCTAGGGCCCCCAAACAACACACAGAGTCTCATGTTAGTTACAATGCTGTTGGCCAATAACTAGGATTTCCCATTTGCTAGCTCAGTCTTAATTATCAAGCATAACTACTAATCTATATATTTTTATAAGATCTCATCTTACCAGCCTTGTGTCCTCTCTTCCTGGCGATCACATGGCGACTCTCCATTCCTACATTTCCCAGAATCCTCCTCAACTCCTAGCCCACCTATCTTGCTTCCCTATTGGACAACAGTGCTTTATTTATCAACCAATAAGACAAACATATGCACAGAAGGACTTCCCCTATCAGAGAGGGGTACTTTTGAGGGTGGCTTGGGATTGGTGGATTTTTGTAGCCTGGTTCTGGGGCAAGCTCAGGGATTGGTGGAATTTCAAGTCCTGGTCTTGGATATAGTCAGGGCAGGGTACTTTACCTGGCCCTTTTCTCTCTGCAGTTCATGTGAGACCTTGTCTCAAAGAAAGAGGGGGAGAGAAGGGTAAAGGATGGTGCTCCTATTTTGACCCAGACTTTCTATGCCTGCTGTTTCTGATTCTCCCTTTAGAAATCGCTACATTTTTTTCTATCACTTTAAAGTACTGCCTTTATCTAAACTCTCACCTCTGTCTTTTGTATGGCTGTGTTCCAAACTTTCCACAAAGCAAAATTAGTTACTGTCTGTGATTGTTGGTGGTTGTGTGTGTACAGCATCCGTGTGGGCAGAATTCTGCATGAAAAGCCAAGACACAAATAGAATCAGACCCTGATAGCTGTCAGCCAGAGATGGTATATCAGAGCCACATAACTTTTGGCTAAGACCCAAAACTGCTTTACAGCACACCCTGCCCATAGGGTCTTTTAAGTAGAGAAGCATGTTCTTTGCAAATAGGGGTAATGTGGCTTCTTCCTTTCCTATTTGCATCACTTTTTATATGTTTCTCTTGCTGCACTAGCTAAGACTTTGAGCTCTCTATTAAACAAGAGTTGAGAAGAGTGGGTAGCCTTATCATGTTCTGAATTATAACAGGAAAGCTCTGTTCTTTTCCGAAGTTAGTATATAACTTCATCTGTGATGGTGGTGTGTAGCCTTTAATGTATAAGGTATATTTGTCTACTGATTTCTCTATAAATTTTCTCAGATGCCCTTTCTTTGTCGTGATGTCCTGAAGTACTTTTCTATGATATTCTGAAGTACTTTTCTGATATATTTATTGGTTTTCATATGTTGAACAAGCCTTGCAACCCTGTTAAGAAATCTGATTATCTGTGGTTCAGAATCACCTTAATGTATTCTAGGATTTGGTCTGCTAATACATTGTTGAGAAATTCTTGTTGTGTGCTCACCAGAGAATTCAGTAGTAACTCTTACGTTTTTTTCTTGTTAGGGTATCAGGCTACCCTAGTCTGAGAAGTACTGATGTTAGATCTTCTTAGAAGCTTGGTAGAATTCAGCAGTGAATCAGCCTGTGTCTCTTTATTACTTACTGCTTCAATCTCATAATTTGTTATGGGTAGGTCACATGAGTTAGAAATCACTCCATTTCATCTAGGTGTTTCAGCTTTCAAAGTGCCCCCACAATGATCTTTTGGCATTCGTTGTAACAGCTCCCTTTTCATCTCTAATCCTATTAATTTGGGTCTTCTCTTTTAGTTTGGCTAAGGATTTATTGAACATCTTAGGTTTTGGGGGGAGGGGTTGTTTGGTTGATTAAGGGAGCCACTCTTTGATTTGTATTTTTTAGTCATTTTCATTAGCTTGTACCCTAATATCTATTAGATCTTGCTGTGTGTTGGATTTGGTGATTTCTTTAGTTTGTTAGAACTCTGAGGTCCTGATATATCCATGTGTGTACATTTGTATTTATAAGCTTCTCATTTTAATATACCTTCACTGAATCCAAGAATTCATGATAAGAAATAGTACTGTTGTTATTTTCATGAGATTTTAGGAATTTTGTATCTTGTTTCTTCAATGACTGTTAATTTAATAGTGTAATTTTATAGCATATAAGTATTTGTATAGTTTCTGATGTTTCTCTTTCTAATGACTTCTAATTTTGCTTACTGTGCTCTGGTAAGATGGAAGGAATTATTTCAGGCTTTTTAGTGTTTTGTTGTTGTTGCCTCTGGGTTATCTGTTAAGGTTTGTTTTGAGGCCTATGATATGATCAGATTTAGAAGTTTCCATTATGTCACTAAGGAAAATGTATGTGTGTTCCTTATTGGTTGGGTGGAATCTCTGGTTGGTCTGGAGTGTAACTTAGCTTTGCAGCTTCTTTGCTGGGTTGTTTGGCAGATCTGTCCTAATCTGAGCATGGAGGATTGGAATCCCCTGTGTTCTTTGTGTGTTTGTTGAAATCTGAAGCCCCAAAATTCGGTTCCCAGATGGTACCTGTCTTGATGAACTGTCGTCCACATTCCCTCCTGACAGGTCTGGAGCTAGAGTCTACTTGAGTGCAGGGATGGGTCTGGTTTTTCTGCCAATTAAAGGGGTAAAAGGCAGGAGAGAAAGTTTGCAAAGCCAGATTTTATTTAAAGTGAAAGCAGGGGAGGTAGGGGAGGAGAGAGAACTGGAATCCACATTTCTCCAGGAGAGGGAGGGGTTCTCTCTTTGGGTGACTGTGTCAGAGTGTGAGTTTTTCCTATGTACCCCCCAGTTGATTTACTCACAGACAGAAAGGCTGACTGATATGCAGCCTGTGTCCAACTACATTTGCCTAGGGCAAGCAAGCCTGCACATTCTAGCTTCAGGGGAGAAGAAACAGGAAGTAGGCACCGTCCCCACTATTTTAGGACATGGCATGAGAAACTCTGCTCCCAGGGCTCCCTTTTCCCTACCTATCTTACCTTCTAACGACTAATCCTAACCCCTGTCAGCTCTACCAGCGCGCTGTTTGCCTTGTAGATTTATACAGCCTTACACTCCCGTGTTTGTACATCTTGCCTGTGTTCCCTAGAGACAAGAGATCACTTTTTTTTAATCCACTCAGTCTGTGTCTGTTAATTGGCAGATTGAGGCCATTTGCATAAGGTAGCATTTAGAAGGGTTTGCCGATTCCTGTGATAGTGTTAGGTGACGTTCTGGTTGACTGGATTATCTTCCTTCTGTTAGTATTAGCAATTTTCTGTGTTGGGTGTGATGGACCCCTCTGGGCTCTCTGTTCATCTGTTCCTCTCATGCAATGTTGACTTACCCTTGTATTCATGGATGATGCTGTCTTCTTTCTCTATGCACACTCCTTAAGAATCTTCTACTGTGCTGGCTGGCCTGCTTGGTATGATTTGCCTCCATTTGAGTTTGTTTTGAACTGTCCTTATTTCTCCATGAGTTTCAAGAAATAATTTTATTGGATATAGTAATTTTGGTGTTAGTCACTTATTTTCAGGGCTTGAATTATGATGTTCCATACTTTCTTGATTTTTAAGAATGCTAATGAAAGATAGAGTATTTTGGTGTGTTTTCCCCTTACAGCTTTTAGTGCTGTTTCTTTGTGTTCTTGGCATCTTGCCTGTGATCTGTCATGCATAGGGTCTTCTCTGTTTAAGTTGTTGTTTCATTGGATAAATTGCCTGACTCTACTCCTCCTGCCCTGTGGATTCTTAGGTTTGATTCCTTGAATACTTCCAAGATGACTTAGGAGTTTTTGTCATGTTTCTTTTTTTATTTATATATGTCTGAATGTATTATTGTATTGTTTTGTCCTTTCTAATACTGATTTTTTTTTCTGGTGAAATTAAAAAACACAAATCACAGAAAAGTAGGTAACAACTAATGTTTTTTAATATTGGAAAAAAATAACAGCTAAAAGTTTGTGGTTTTGGCTTTTGTTTTGTTTTGTTTAAGCAGCTCTCTTAACCTATCCTATAGTCTTTTCATAGAGATTCTCATGGCTCCTTTTTGGGAAGTTCTCTGTAAGTAGTGTGTTGATGCAGAAACATTGTTTAGCCTGATGGCACTACCACCATCCACAGTGGCTGTGACACACTCTGTTTCACATTGTAGGTTCCGCCGAGAAAGACCTTGAAAGTGCTAAGCTTGTACAGACTCTACACCGACTGCTGGCAGATGAGAGAAGTGCCCCAGAAATCAAATATAACTCTATGGTCCTCATCTGTGCTCTCATGGGATCTGGTAAGTATTTCTTCTGTCACTTGATACCAGTGTATGCCTTCCATCATACGTTAAATGTATAGTTACAGTAAATGATGACTGTTAAAAATTAATTTCTACTGCTTTTTAAAGAGGATACAGAACTTGCCCTCAGAGGGCAGAATAGGGTGTCAGATCCCCCTAAAGCTGTAATTAAGGCAGTTGTGAGCTGCCAGATGTAGGTATTGGGAACCAAACTCTGTTCTCTCTCTGTAAGAGCAAAGATGTGCTCCCGACAGCTGAGCCGTCTTCCAGCTCCCAAGATTACTTGTAAACTGAAACTGTTCCCAAAGGGTTCTTCTAAAACAGTGTCATATGGTACATACAGCAAAAATCAATGTGATTATCAGTGCCAAAATTCATGGTTATGTAAAGAAGAAGTTCTGGTTTTATATGTTGTAGTATTAACTAAAGACTTTATTCAAGATATCATCCTGTATATTGGTATATGTACCGTGGATACTTGGATGAATATTCATTCTACTGTTTTAATTAAATTCTGTGGGGTGATATGATGGTATTTCCTGTATTCTTGCTGATGCCCTGAGTATTGAGAGAAGAGTATGGAAGCCCCCCTCCCTGTAATAATAGAGCCAGAAGGACACTTACACATGCATTATCAGTGTTTTCTTAGAATGTCAGTGGTTGGTAGGCATGTATTGACTTGAGGACTCCTGCAGTTTCTTGGTAAAGTAACTCTTCTGTCTCCATGTCCCTCTCAGTCTCTGCTCTCAAGTCTCATTTATGTATTGTTAACCAGCATCGCTACTCCTACTTGAGTAGCATTTTCATTTTTTTCTACTCTTAGTTTCAGTCTACAGTTTTGTTGCTAACTTTGAAGTATCTGGTAGATAATCTTTACTTGTGTCATTTTATAATCCACTCTTCAGTGCTTTCAATTGTTTTACTAACACCACTTCTAAGGGAAAGTTACTCCTTTTTCCACTTAAATAGCTACCCCCAGCCATTCTAAGTTATGTCTTCTTAGCAACAAATTCAATTTTCCCTCTTTACAGATGTTTCATTAATCCCTTCATTTTAAAAAAATTTCTATAGTCAACTGATTTCATTGTACATCCTGTCTATAGAAAGATATGGTCCTTTCTAGTGAGAAATCCACTGTCTTCTGTTTCCTTTATACAGTGTTTCAATTTTTTAAGTTGTAAAATGTATCTTGAAGCACAGATTGGAGTTTATCATTTTTGAAGTTTGTTCAGCTTTTAGAATCTACATGGGTTCGTGTCTCTTATTAAATTGGGGGAGTATTTAACCATTATTTCCTGGGACTCTCTTTAAAGTCTGTCATGTTTTCTTCTTGTTCAAGGTCTCTGATGGCACAGATGTGGGCTCTTTAGTCATAGTTCTGTAGGTTCCTGGTGCTTTATCCTTTTTTCTTCTATTTCATTTTTTAATCTATTATTCAGACAGTAATATGTTGTCTCATCTTAATATTTAGCAATTATTTCTCAGATCCTTTTATTCCAGTATTAAAAGTATCAAGTTGTATTTCAGTTTTCTGAAATGGTTACTTTAGTGCTGAAATTCCCATTGGCTGCTTTTTCCTTCTCCTTTCCTCCTGAGATTTTTTCCGAATTGTTTCAAGCATATTCATAGGCTTCCGATGAGATAGTTTCATTGTAATGAAATCCATAAACTTAGCTTTACCATACTAGCCATTCTTCAGTGTATGGTGGCACTAAGTGTGGTCACTTTGCTTCTTGACCACCAACATCTCCAGATTTTTCCAAACTGACCTGTCTACATTAAGCAGTAGCCCCTCCCTCCAGTTGTCCCTTTGCCTCTGGCTGCTGCAAGTCTGTATTCTGCTTTTTATATTATTATTCTAGGCACATCATGTGAGTTGAATAATAAAATATTTGTTCTGAATGCTAAGTGACATTCCGTTGTATGTGAATATGACATTTTATTCCTTCCTTGACACTTTCTTATTTCTACCAGTCATGCCACTTAACACCAATATAAAAATCACTCATCAAGTCCCTGCTTTCCGTTTTTTTGGGGTATATAAAAATAGAAGCATAAGATCATAGGATAAATCTGTTGCATATTTTGAGGAGCTGCAATACAGTCTTCCAAAGGGGCTTGGCTGTATAACATTTCTGCCAGTAATGCCTATCTATGGCTTCTAGTTTTTAGCATCCCAACTAACCCTCCCCCCTTTTTTTTTTTAATAATCACTTCTCAGTGAATATGAGGTGATTGTTTTGATTTGCCTTTCTGTAGTCGTCAGTGATACTGGAGAATCTTTTCACGTGCACACTGAAAGTTGTTTTGTATGGTTCCTTTGTATGTTCTGACATTAATCCTTTATCATATGTACGATTTATAAATAATCCTCATTCCATTGGTTATCTTTAAATTCTGTTGATAATGCTCTTTGATGTACAAAAGCTTTTTATTTTAATGAAATCCCATTGGTTCATTTTTCTTTTTGTTGCTATATCCTAGAGTAAAATCTAAGTTTCAGATTATCGCTCCATTGTGAGTTTGTGTGTAGAACAGGCATCAGTTTCATTCTTTACATATGGCAATCCAGTTTCCTCACCACCATTTGTTGAAAAGCCCTTTCCTGACCCATCTTGACTCCCTTATCAAATCAAATGTAAGTATTATGGGTCTCATTCTATTCTGTTGGCCTGTGTCTGTTTCTGTAGCAGAACCTGCATTAAAGTCAAGAAATGGGAGACACTTCTGGTTTGTTCTTTCTCAAGGTTATTTTGTAAACTTGGGGTCTATTTAAGATTCTATGTGACTTGCTGAGTATAGTGGCCCATACCTTTATTCCTAGCACTCAAGAGGCTGAGGCAGGTGGATTTGATTTCTGTGAGTTTGAGGTCAGCCTGGTCTACGTAGTAAGCTCCATAGCTCATCACATAGGACATCCAGGCTATAGAGAGAGACCCTGTATCAAAACAAGAAGGAAAAAAAATTCTATATGACTTTAGGATGTATTTCTTCTTTCTGTTTTTACTAAAAGATTAGTTGTGGTGTTTGGACATACCAAAATTAATACACCAGGAGCCAAGGAAATGGCCCCACTTGCCACCAAAGCCTGTGCATAGTTCTTGGGATCCACATGGTTAAAGGAGAGTCAGTTCCCACACACTGTCATCGAACCACAATACATGCCCAGTGGTATAAGCTTGTAGTTTAAGTGCAAATTTAAAAAAAAAATAAATAAGCATATTTAAACGCCATTCTTCCCAGTAGCAGGCTCTCAGTCATACTGGGAGTCCTGTACTTTCTTACAGTTAAAGCTAAATGAGCCAGAAAGGTCAGGAAAGGTGAACTAGAAAGAAAAATCTAAAAAGGAAGTGAGTTTCACAGAATTTATTCAAAGTATATGAAGTAAAAACTTCACTTAACACAGAATTTTACAGGTTTTTAGTAAACTAGCTTTTTGCTGAAACTGCTGATGGGGTTAAGTTGTAGATTACTAAATGTTGAGATTAGATGATGAGCTGTGTTTAATTACTGCTTATTACTGTAAACAACTGTAGACTTAAGAGCCTAATGTAAATTTTTATAAATGACAGTGCATTCCTAAAAAAGATATTAAGAACTGTTGCATTCTTTCCTGATTTATTCCTGGTTTTATAGCTGTCTAGTCAAATCATCAGGTCTATGTTTGGGGTAGACTATGCAGTGAGATTAGATCAGTGTAGCAGAAATGTGAGCATTATCTTACTTTTCTCTTCCAGAATCTCTCTACAAGGAAGTGCAGGATTTGGCCTTTCTAGATGTTGTATCCAAACTTCGAAGTCATGAGAACAAAAGTGTTGCCCAACAGGCCTCTCTCACAGAGCAGAGACTTACAGTGGAAAGCTGAGAACTGCCGCTCCCAGCACAAGGCATCACCCCAGCTGACCACCCAATGTTCTCCATCCAGCTGCTTCCTCGGCTCCATCCTCTTGTGCATGCGTGTAATGTTCCAGTACCAACCGAAGAACTCTATAGGTACCTGCCTAATAAGATCTCTCCACCCATAGTTGATGTGAACACAACTGTCCAAACAAGTCTCCACCCATAACTGTTATCCTGTATCCCTGGCGCTCGAGCTACATTAAGTAGAATGTGCATGTTGTAGCCCTATGATGATGTAAACTTGGTACTACATGCTGACTTGCTCTTCACCTGCAGTAAGCTCCATAACAATGTACTGGTAAATTAGAAACAAAGAATGCAGCAGGATCTGTCTAGCTTATTTAAAGATGAAACTGAACAGTAAAAGTAGCACCATATTTTTGGGTGCTTAGGAAGCACAGTGATAAAAAGCCGTATGGCTGCTCACTCATTAGTCTTCTACTAATGTCAGGCCCATTGTGCCTAGAGTTGAATAGATTCAATACTCACTCTTTCCCTATGGTTTCTCCTTTTTCTGAACTGTTTAGGCAATTTGCCAAACAACATGGCAAGACTTCATTAGGCTTCTCATTCCATCTTTAACTGAGAGCAGTACAGAGGCCCATTGCTGAGCTGTTTTCAGTGTGATCAGAACAAAGGGGTTAAAGAAACCCTAGCATGCTGGACCATGTTGGATCATGCCCATATTTTACATTCTGATTTGTGTGTGGTTACATCTAGAACTTCCATCAGTTAACTAGCAATTGTCCAACACGGGTCGCTAAAACTTACTTGCCATATGTTTCAACCAAGGAAAATTGAGTACAGCTTGTTTGGTGGAGAATGGATTTTTTTTTTCTATCTCTCTCCATTTTTTCATCTTTCAGGCTGAAAGTAAGGAGTTTCATCTTTCATACTCCTTTTATATATTGTGCTACTCTAGATGGATATAAGAGGAAACATGAAGATGTAAGCTTGTCTACATTAAAGAAAGGAAGGCCAGTTTTAAAAGCCATAGTAGCCAGTCCGGTACATTTTGCAGATGGCCTCATAGCAGTCATTGTTAAGAGTCTCTCACCTCCACTTGCCCACTGAGAACCACAGTAATCTCACAGACTGCAAGCCAGGACTCGATGTTAGAAACCTTCTTGGCAAAATGTAGTGTGCTCGTCACTGCCACTAACCACTACCAAGTGAGTTTTCAGAGCTTTGACACACAATCTTTGTAAATTAATCAGGACTCCCTGTGACCTACCTTCTAGCACCCAAGTTTGATCCCTGCTAATATATATGGGAAGGTAGGCTCCTTTACAAGGCTGGAGGGCAGTGAGAGGGGCTGCTGAACAGGGGACCAGCTCCTTCCTCCCCAACAGGAGATATAGGTATCTCTGCATTATCTAAATCGGACTTTGGTTTTCACAATTTTAAATTCAACAAAGATTTACTTAAAGTAAGTACAAACCTGACTAGCAATTCCCACTGATGGCCAAATAAGGGAACGATTGTGACTGCTTGTGCTACACTTATTGTAGGAATGAGCTCTTTAAAGTCTTTCTCCTGGGCTGGATAAGTGGACTAATGTTGCATAATTCTGTCCATATTAATAACTTAACAAATAAATAGCATATGAAATTACAGTGGTATAACTTGGTTTCTCTCTCCATGTTGTATATAGTTTCACAACAACAGGGCTTGTTAATAGTTGCTACTAAGTGTTGGTGAAGAATGAATTCTTCCTCAACTTTCAGACTGCCAGCAAAAAAAAAAAAAAAAAAAAATTCAAAAAAATTCCAGATAGACTGATAGATAAGATTTGGATAGTTCTACTTCCTGATTGTTACAACAAAACACTTTATGGATTGCATTCTTACTGAAAAGCATTATAGACAAAAATCTCAGAATAGAAACATTCCAAGGTCATAGATTTGAAAAATGGTACCATGTGACTCAGCTGCCAGCAATCAATTCAAGCTAATAGGAACTCCTAGCTCCACCAAAACCAAGTGCAGTCCACGTCTCCAGAGGATGGTGCTCTTAATTACAGAGGCCACAAATTAGGAAATTCAGTGCTAAGTCCAGGCAGTTGGTGGAAGAATGAAGACCAGATAATCCTTCATCTCCAGCTAATTAAGCTCAGCCTCAGGGGCTAACATTAAATGACTTTGCTACCCCAGAGCGCCTTTTAAAGGAGACAGTGGGAGAAACAGCACCACAAGCTGGCTAAGACACTTATATAGGTGAGCATCACTGTACAAAGTTTGTACAATTAATAAGCTAAACAGCCATTCTGCTCAGTGTAGCCATAACATTTCAATTGCACAAGTATTATCAAGTGATATAAAATGATTGTTGATATGAAGCCTCTTAAATGCAACTAGGAATGTAAATCATTTTATACAATCAGATGGTCTCATAAATTCATATAGAGACAAACATTTCATGTAACATATATATATATATATGTGTGTGTGTGTGTGTGTTGTGTAGGCATATCTGACTGGAATGTTGAGATTGCTATGATTTAAAAGTGTAATATAGGGCCAGCAGAATGGCTCAGTGGGTAGAAGTACTTGGCACACAAGCCTGACAACCTGAGTTTGATCCCTGAAACCCACAATAGGAGAGAACCAACTCCTAAAAGTTGTCCTCTGACCTTCACATGCATGCCAAGGCATTCAGAACCTCCACTCTTACACACGAAATAGTAATACAAAATTTAAAATGTAAAGTACTTGGTCCTTGGATACTTTGTCACATACTGGCTGTATGACCATGGCCAACTTACTTAAAATTCACCTTACTTTCTCTTCAGCATGCAAAACTTAATAATCCTCAGAGTTTTGAGAAAAACTTTTAAAGATTCAAGATAAGGATGGATAAAAAATTGTGTTATATTTGGACCAAATGGATAAAAAATTGTGTCGTACTATGGACCAAACAACTCACAGCCCTGTGCATGTTTCCCAACTAAAATAATTTTAAAACAAAGCTGGGAGCTGAGCATGGTGATACATATCTTTAATCCCAACACTAAGAAGGCTGAGGCAGGCAGATCTCTGTGAATTTAATGTGAGACCAGCCTGGTCTACACAATGAGTTCCAAGCCATCCAGGGCTACATAGTAAGACTGTCCTAAAAACATTTTGTAGACAACATAATCATGCTTTTCACAATTCCAAATAAGAACATATTTTGACAATTTATTTTGTATTCCAGATCAAGCCTTCAGTGGACCAAATGTCTACCAAGCAGCTCTGGTCCCTGAACTCTCTGCCATTTACTCCCTCAGTCACTACCTTCCCTCCTGACTGGGGTTGCTACACTTGCCTGAGAGGCATTCAGAGCCCCCCACTTTGTAAGCAAAGCAGAGACTCATGTTGTCACACCATCAGACCTACCCCATACTCCAGGCTTGTTCTGGTACAAACATCCGATACACAAGCACAGTCCTCTCTGTCCATCTGATTTTATCCCACCTAAGCCATTTACAACCTGTAGGCCCAATCCACCGACACATCCTATCCTCTGCCCCAACCTGCTCTGTCAATATTAGAACTTACAAAAAAAAAAAACGTTTACATGTCCAGACCTCATTGCAAATAATACAAACAATGTGGAAGCAAATATCTCCTCTCTACAGACTACCTATCCTGTAGAAATGTTTGCCAGTGAGAATTACCTAGATGAACCCAGGAAACAATTTAAAAGAACAACCATAAACTGTATAGAATTCAAGGAAGATAAGCAACTCAATGAAATTAAGGAGAATAAACACCGGCGTGATGGAAATGACAAGGACATTCTAGGACTTGAGAACAGAATTCAGTTAGGAGACAGAAACATTGAAAAGGATTCAGCAGAATGAAGATGAAATTGAATAACCCAACTAGAAAACTCAAAGGAAATCCTCCTGAGTAGAATGGATCAAGAAAAAGTAGAATATCAGGATTTGAAGAGAGTAAAGGATATAAACCAAGTAAACAAGGAATGATTTTTATAACACAGGAACATACAGGAAGTATGGGACACCATGAAAAGACAAAACCTTCAAGTTACAGACATAAAAGAATCCCAAGTCAAATGGCATAGACCCAGTCTTCAACAACTATAGAAGAAAACTTTCCCAAATTAAGGAAAGTCATACCCATAGAGATTTTAAAAAGCATACTGAACACTAAATAGATAAGACCAGAAAAGAAATTCCCCAGAGCATATCATAGTTAAAACTTTGTATACAGAACAAAGAAAGTACTGAAAACTGCAACCACAAAAAACTCAAGTCACATATAAAGGAAAACTTACCAGAACAGTAGTGGAAACTTTGAAAGCCAGAAGAGCCTTCAATAGTGCATTCCAAATCCTAAAAGATAAAGATGGCCAGCCTAGGATAATATACCTAGCACAACTATCTTCTATAGTTAAAGGAGTAAGAAAAACTATATACAACAAACCAAACCTAAAGAAAATACAGGAAGCAGTATTTTCTATTGAAGAGTGGGATGCATATAGCTAACACTGTGGAAAGAAATATGAAGCCATAATTATTAAAATGCAAAATACCAATCATAACAAAAATCAACAACATGATAAACCACAATTAATGTACACATTTTAATAATATCTTTAAATATTAATGGCCTCAATTCTCTAATCAAAAATACAGGCTAGCTGAATGGATCAAGAAACAAAATCCATCCATCTATTGTCTACAAGAAACATGTTTTAGTCTTAAAAATAAGTGATGTCTTAAGAAAAAAAGGATAAACAAAGCACTCCATTCAAATGGGACCAGGAAGCAAGCAGACATCGCTATCCTAATATCTGACATCACACTAAAACTAATCTGAAGAGATACAAAGGATATGATACTTCATTCTAAATGAGGAAATAGTTAACCAAGAATACATTACTGTTCTAAACATAACATGTACCAAATCCTGGGGTGCCCAATTTCATTAAAAAGGTATCATAGACATAGATTAACATCAATCCATTAAATCAGGTGATTTCAGCACCTCACTTGCTTCAATAGACATGTCATCTGGACCAAAAACTCAAAAACACCTGAATTAATAGGCATCATACATTAAGTGAACTTAACTACAGAATATCCCACTCAAACACCAAACAATACATTATTTACTCATCAGTGCTAAGAAGCTTATCTAAAACAGCTCAGACCCTGGGACATAAAACAAGTCTATGAATTAAAAAAAGGTTTAAATACTTCTCTGTATCCCATCTGACCACAATCAAATAAAACTCAAAGTTGTCAGCAAGCAAATCCAAGTAAATACACAAACTCATGGAATTTAAGCAACTCACTGCTGAGTGATGAATGGGTCAAAAAAGTCAAGGAAAACAAGGTCCTGGAATTAAATGAAAATTAAAACAAAGTTTCTGGGACACATGAAAAATAGTCCTCTAAGGGAATTTATAGCTGTAAGTGCCTATATTAAAAAAATCAGAAAGAGCATGAATAAATGACCTGAATGATACAACTCAAAAATTTGGAAGAACAAGAACAAACCAAATCCAAACCCAGTTAATTGCAAAAAAAAAAAAAAAAAAAAAAAAAAAAAAAAAAAAAAAATCAAAGAAATTGTCTAAAGGTTTCTATTTCTGCAATGAAACACCATGACCAACACAACTTGGGTATATTTGATTTCCACATCACAGTTTATCATTAAAGAAAGTCAGGACAGGAAATTGAATAGAGCAGGAATCTGGAGGCAAGAATTGACGCAGAAGCCATGGAGAGGGGCTGCTTACTGGCTTGATCCTCATGGCTTGTTCAGCCTGCTTTCTTACAGAAATCAAGACCACCATCGTAGGGATGGCATCACCTACAATGGACTGGGTCGTCCCCTCATCAATCACTAAGAAAATGTTCTACCAGCTTGTCTACAGCCCTATCTATGGAGGCATTTTCTCAATTGAGGTTCCCTCCTCTGATGACTTTAGCTTGGGTCAGGTTGACATAAAACTAGCCAGTACAGAAATTAATGAACTAGAAACATTGAAAATAATATGAAGATTATAAGGAATGCTTTTAAGAATATGTGCTCCATTTAGTTGAGAAACCTAAAGGAAATGGAGGAATATATAGATTCAGTCAAATCACCAAAATTAAACCAAGAAATCAATATCCTAAACAGACCCATAACAAATGAGGTTGAAAAAGTAATAAAAGATAAAATTAAGTCCAGGGCCCGATGAATTCTATCAGATGTTCAGACATCTACAGCCAATCCTTCTTAAAACTATTCAAAAAAGTGGAAATAGGTAGATCACTCCCACACTCCTATGATGCCAGTATTTCTCTAACACCAAAACAGTAAAGCCAACAAAAAAGGAAAACTATAGGCCAATATTTCTAGTAAACATAGATTCAAAAATGATCAATAAAATAAACAGAATAGAGAGTATCCACCATGACCAAGTTAACTTTATCCCTGCTGTGCAGGAATGGTTCAACAACATACACAAGTCAATAAATATAATAAACACTTAGATGGAGTTAAAGACAAAAATTGTATGATCATATTAATAGATAAAGGAAAAGCCTTTAACAAAATCCATCTTGCCTTTGTAATAAAATTCATATAGCATGTAGGACTAGAGGGAATATACCTCA